GAAGAGATATAATGCTTTCCAGCTACAAAGCACACACCTGGAGCTGGCTACAAAAAGCATCTTGAGACTTGAGAGATCAGCTGGCGTCTCCAAATGAAGCTTTGTAAACCTGTGAGAACAGTAATGGGGAAGCTGTACAGTGATAAATGTGTATTTATGCCACATTAGATACATCAGCTCTGTTAGCTGTTCACATCTTGTCTTACAAGTGCTGCTCCAAGCCATTTTCACATAAAATTAAATCATTCACACAGGTTTAAATAACATCTTAAAATCACAGAGGAAAGAGCTGGGAGAGACTTTGAAAAGTTATCTTGTCCTGTCTCAAGACCAAACAGTTCCTATCTGTCATTCTAGATCCACAGGTGACCAGTAGTTGTGGATCAATGACCAGAAATCAAAAACCAGAAAATCCTGAATAAAAATATTGCCCTTAAAGACAACTGTCCCACACAACAAGAGCTCAGACTGTGCTTCTCTAATGGAACCAACACACTCATCTTGTGTTGTGTGACATGTCTCTGAGCTCTCGGTGTACAGCACTTAGGTCACACCCAGCTGGCAGGACACCAGAGAGGGTAAAGCCACCTGTGGTTAAAGATGACCTGCAATTATGCAGTCTTTGTAAATGATACTTCTAGTACTTCATATTCACTTTATCTTAAGTCTCTGAATAAAGAGAGAGAGCAGGGTAGTTGTGCAAGACTGATCACTGAGTAGTATATAGCATTTAAAACTACAAGTTCATCAACTTCTACAATAATAGAAAACTCTTTTCCAAAAATTTCCCTGAGACAATTCTGGGATTGTATTATAGGCTTTGAAATCTTGGACCATTCTTAACCTGGTGGGTAAAAATTTACCCTAACTTTCCTGCAAAGGCTGTAGCAGCATGATTTTCTTGAAGGAAGCCTCTAACCCTTCCTTCTCATGCTTAATGACATCAACAAATGCTACACCTAGAAAAGTAATATTACTGCACAGCTACATCAATAGGCACAAGAAAACGATGATGGCAGCAAGCTTGGATTTCTGAAGTCTGTTCCTTGTCTTGATTTGTGAAGGCTAAAAAAGGTACTTTTAGCAAGGATATTAAGGATCGTGTTTCCAAAAGAGCTATGCTTAAAGGAAGAATACAGCAGCTTGTGTGTCCACAGCTTTTCATTCAGCAGTCCAGCTGGAAGTGGAAAGAGAAAACATGCTTTAATAATAAAAACACAGATTCGGAAGACAGGAAATGTTGAAGAAATTTCAACCAAAGACAGAACCCTTAAGGGACCCATAAAAATGTTTCTTCTTTCATAGATTACAAGAGATTCATGATCTCTTGCCATGAGAGTTACTATTTATTTTAAAATGTTATTTTCCAGTCAGAACTTGTATGAAATTTAAAACAAGTTGGTTGAACTCCATATGTAAAATCCTACTCAATAAATCACATTTGATCATGACTCTGGGAATAACATATTGTTTGTGTTCATGAACAAACTGAAAAAACCATAGCCCAAATAGGCTTAAGACTGAATGTTATTATATTGATTTTCTAGCAAAGCAATAAGAAGCCACATTGTTCTCTTCCAGGTATTTTAATAAGTACAAAGCAAAACTCCACCACTGCTACACCAAAACTGCACTAAATATTGCACCTCGCAGTCTTACTCCAAAGGAAAACAAAAGGAGAAGGGAAAAGCAGGTGGAATATGGACATAACGAAGAACTACCTATCTGGAAGAACGCCACTACCTAGCAGAAAGCCTTGCTTTCCATTTTAGTTGAGTTTACTTCAGCTTACATCAACCTTTACATTACCTCAGTTTACATCAACAGCTGACTTCAGGCAATCACCTTGACATCATCCAGCCACTGGTTATGGATAAGGATAATGATGCATGACAGCTTTTACACTTCACTTTTGTAGCTAATGGTTTGGTACAAATTCATGGTCCTTTCCTCCAATTTGAACAAAAATAATAATTTAAAAATGCGGGTCCTTAATATGAAGACAACTACCTCACGCTTCAGGAAGCTTTCTACAGCAACTGCATGGGCCTGGGGAATACCAGGCTGAATAGGATGTAACACAAAATACACAATTCCTTCAGCACAGCAAGGAAACAGAAAGGAGGGGAGTGCACCAAGCTGGAAAAGGCTGACTGGACAGCGGGGAACTTTTGCAGTTTATGTCAGGCAGAGAGCAGCAGCATGGATTACACACACGAATCCCCCTGTCTGTCGTGGCAGGACATGGGTGTGTTCTAACGCCTGCCAAATCACACACAGATTCACTTGGAGAGAGAAATCCATTTCCTCCCATCCCTTTTTTGGATAACACCAAAGAGTACATAGGATTTCATTTATAGCAATGTAAGCAATCCAGCTTCCAATCCCTGTTCTCCCTAAAGCCACCTGAATCTACATTTTTTAGCTTTTAGTGCCAAAGAACTTAAGCATTGGGTATTCTTCTGAATGAAGAAGGTCTATCTAAAATATTTTAATATTTATGAGAGTAAGGACTGAAGTCTAAGCATATGATGACTTCCACAAGTGCCCTAATAAGCTGTGTTCACTCTCATGGTCTCATGAATATTTAGAGATACTTACGAAGAGGAACAGCTTAATCTGAAGATATGCATGTCTGGTCTGTGACCAATTACAACAAGATATTATTCTCAGTGTGTGTGGTATGCATGGTCTCCCATTCTCAAAACTTCTAACAGGCTAAGATGCATTTTCCTCTACCATTAGTGTGAGATTGTTACCCTTATTCCTTATTTCTAAGTCCTTTATGGTCCAAAGAATATCAGCAGTTTTGCTGAAATCAGAACAATAAAATATGCAGAGACCATGAGTCAGAGTTTCCTACATACAAGTTAGATATCCCTTGAGAAACCCAGCAGTTCCCCTGAGCAACACAAATAATGAGAGAAGTGGTATCATGTAGAAAAACTGCATCTGCAGCACAGCATTGGATGAAGACTTTTCTGTGGCCTTCAGAGACAGCTACCTCTGCTGCTTCCCAGCTCTCCTCCAGGGGGGCAGATGAGACCAGAGGCAACACACGCTTTCAGAGAAAACAATTTTTAGTCATGCTTTACAGCCCCAAAGACTGCACTTTACCTAAATTTGCTTCAGTGTTACCACATTCTAAGCAATTACTAGCAGCTGCTATTTCATGTCCTACTTGCTCTGTCATCTCCCCAGTAGCCTGAGGAAGATGAAAACTTACTGGAAAACAGCAGAATTTGCCCTTTCATCCTTGGCTTGCTGGTGAAAAATAGTGTAAATCAGACATGAAATCACTAAAATTATGATGTCAGCTTATTTTTAAGTTATTCCTCTTGCAGTCACACAAATCTATAAAGCACCTACGGAAAATAATTCACAACACAGTAGATTTCTTCCTCTACCAGACTTATTTGCCAAACTGGGGGAAGAAAAAAAAAAAAAGAAAAAGGAAAAAGAAAAAAAAATACTAGCTTTTCAGGAAAGTAGCAAAAGATCACTAAGGCACAAGAAATGAACACATTCAACCTTGTAATATTTAGTGATCCATTTCTTAATCTGAGCAGTTCACAACAGTTAACAGAGCTGTAGAGGGCAAGGGTTCA